TGTTTTCAGGATGTGCTAAGCTACTTCTGGATTGTCTTTTCTAGATGGATTCTTTGGAAGATGCTGTAATATTTGTGATGTCTTCTTCTATATTTGGATGAAGTTATGAACTTTTATTTTCTGAAGAGTTGTCTTCAGTACTTGTAATTAGAACTTCTATATCTGCAAAAGTTTCACCCAGCTTTGACCTTTTTGAAAGCTCAGAGTATCTTAACATGAAACATTTTTGTGCCTTAGAATCAAACTTGTTCATATGATCTTTCCTTTCTGATTTCCTCCGAAACCTTTGTATCCTCCAATTTTAAGTTCCAGGCTTTGGAACATATGTTTTCTTCCCATCATGTGTCGACAACATCCAGAGTCCAGATACCTAGACTGGTGTTTCAACCTTGTTGTTAAAAACATATGCAACATAGATGATTTTATCCTTTGGTACCCATATCTTTTTGGATCCTTGTTTGTTAGATTTTCCATAATTCTGATTGAATTTTGGTTTATAAGAGTTCACAGAATAAGATTCACTGGTGTATTTTATGTCATGTGTGTGTCCATATGTGAAATGTGAATTTAGGGGTGTGTATTTTATGACCATGTTATCAACTTATTTTGGTTGATATGGTTCTTTCCCTTTTGGTTTCACATATCCTATACCTTTTTTGCCGTTTCTGCTAACTCCATAGATCATAGAGGTCATCTTGCTTCTATCTATGTTTCTAGCTAGAAAATTTTGAAAGTTGTGATCATATTCTTTTATGACATTATCACAACTAGTTGAAACTTCTGAGACATATTCTTTATGAGCTTTTTGTAGCTCGTTTTTAATAACAGAATTTTCATTTTTAAGTTTAGAGATGGTTTCTTTTAGCTCAGAATTTTCTGCTTTTAGTTTCCTAGTTTCTTTAGAGTCAGATACTAGAATGTGTTTCAGGTTCTTTTTTTACTCGAAGTTGCTGATATCTTTTAAGAATTTCAGACAAACTATCTTCTAATTGAGATCTAGAAAAGTTAGAGAATACCTCTTCTGCTTTTGAGTCTGATTCTGATTCAGATGAACTAGTGTCATCTGATATGTTGGTCATTAAAGAGATATTGTCACGTTCATCTTTTGATGTTGATTCTGCTTCAGAAGACTCTGAGTCATTCCACATTGTCATAATACTTTTCTTTGTTTCTTTGAAGAACTTCTTATTTGGCTTTTATTTCTGAAGTTTGGAGCAGTCACTTTTGTAGTGATCCGACTCTTTGCATTCGTAGCAGACGATATCTTTGCTGCTAGACTTTCTGTATCCAGAGGATGATTCAGAGTGATTACATGTTCTTCTGGAGTTTCTGAATTTCCTATGCATGTGCTTCTATAGTTGATGGACTCTTCTGGAGAGAAAAGATAATTCGTCTTCTTCTGATGAGGATCCACTAGAGCTTTATTCTTCTTCCTGAAAAGCTTTAATTTCATATTTTTTATTAGATTTAAGAGCAAGAGACTTACCTTTCTTCCGAGGCTCATCTTTTTCAAGTTCTGTCTCGTGACTTCTAAGAGAGCTGATAAGTTCTTCAAGAGATATATTGTTCAGATCTTTGGCAAGCTTTAAGACTATGACCATAAGCCTCCATTTCTTTGGTAAACTTCTGATGATTTTCTTTACATGATTTTTTCTGGAGTATCCTTTGTCTAGAAATTTCAATCCAACAACCAGAATTTGAAACCTTGAGAACATTGTCTCGATAGTTTCTTCTTCTTCCATTTTGAAAGCTTCGTACTTCTGGATGAGTGCAAGAGCTTTGGTCTTTTTAACTTGTGTGTTTCCTTCATGTGTCATTCTCAGAGAGTCAAACATATTTTTAGCAGAATCTCTGTTTGTGATCTTCTCATACTCAGTGTATGAGATAACACTCAAAAGGATTGTTCTGACTTTGTGATGGTTTCTGAATTCTTTCTTTTGTTGATCTAACATTTTCTTTTTATCAATCTTCTGACCGTTTTCATCACTAGGATGAATGTAGCCATCAGTCACCATATCTCAGGGATTAGTGTTATGAGCTAGAAAAAAACTTTTGATTATGTCTTTCCAGTAATCAAAATTTTCACCGTCAAACACTGGGGTTCTGCCGCTGATTTTGTCTTTATCATAATTGTTGTTCTGAATTGATTCCACCATAGTGTTTTTCTTGCTATAATCTTTTTCTGACACGGTTAAGTGTTAGCACTCACAACCAGACGCTCTGATACCAATTGAAGGATAGAAAAATACAAGAAAAGAGAGATTTGAATTAAAGTTTTCAAAAAATAAAAATAGTATGACATATTTGGTTATCCTAGTTTGTTTGAACTCAAACTACTTCAGTCTATCTGCCAAGGTAATTTCGCCTTTCTCAATCGAGACCTTAATCCACTAATCAAAACTTGATTATAATTCACGAAGACAGCTGTCAACATCTTCTTGACATCAAACCACAACTTGGTTTATCAAGGAATTATAACTCACAAAGACTACCGTCAATGTCTTCTTGAACTAAACCATAACTTGATTTCTCAAGGAATTACAACTTTTATAACAAAAATAATGTGTTTAACAAATGCTTTTAAAAAGCTATATCATAACTATGAAGATTAAAGCACAATGATAAAATAGAGAATTCGATTGCTCTTGTTTGATATGTGCGTGTGATTCTCTTGAATATTTATATTATATGTGTTCACTTCTTGATCCATCTTCATAGTCTCTTTATATAGAGGAAGTAAATTGAACCATTGAAGACATAAGAAATTATCTTTGGAAGATTAATAAAATGTTGTTAATGTACTTTCTAAAAATACAGATCTTGTCTTGTTCCAACCGTTACACTTTAATTTGTAATGAATGGATTATAACGCATCAGAACTTTGCTTCTTTGAAATCTGATTAGAATAAGAATATTAACGTTGAGACTTTAGATCATCAGAGTTTCTTGAGATTCATATGATCAGAATTTGGATGAGACAGACACGTTGAAGCTTTTTTGTACTTTCAGAATATTCACTTATCAAAGTATAGCTTGAGCTTAAGTGTCGAGTCTTAGAACTTTAGAATATGTGAGTGCATTGAGACTTCCTTTGTTCTTTTAGAACTTCACTTATCAGAGTATCAGAATTTAGCTTGCAGCTTTGGTGCTTCAGAAGTTATAACATCAGAACTTCTTCTATTAAGCGTGTTACACAGATTTGCTTCTAAGTTTGTACGTTTCGTCTAATCAGAACTTCAAAATGCGAATATTTTCATCAACTTCTATGCTCTTTTGTCATAACTTCTTTAAATATTTAAATAATATTTTAGAGAGCATATTTGTTTTTTATATATATCATGTATTTGTTATCAAAATTATTGCTAAGATGTAGAACCAAATTATGTTCTGACATAAACAACACCACCTGGTCGACCACCCGGGACATAACTGTCTTGGTTTTTAGTGACCACTACATTTTCTGTATATGTGGATGGGTTCAATTGTAACCCAACCATCATGAAATAAGACATACCATATTGATAGGGGACAAATGATGACCCTGGACCCCTAGAAAGAGTGATCGATTTAGGTCAAATGGTGATATCTCATGCCTAAATTTTGTCATTGTGACTGTTGTCACTGGACCATAAACATCAGTCGATCTCACAAAAGATAAAATCGCCGTGCTTTGAGTTATGGCGCTCACTGGTATGACATCCATATTTTGTGTAGAAATTTGTGTATGTGCAATGTTTGTGTCAGAGTGTGGCATTTTAGATTTCGAAAAATGTTTATCACTTCTTAAATTCATACACACACAAACTAAACTACAAGAAACTTTGTAAAATCAAACACAAATACAAAATTATTAACACGGTCCCACCAGATGTGCCAATTTGTTTACCTCTGGTTTCGGTAAATAACGCTGATCTCTTAACAAAAGTTTACTGACGAGATCGGTCAGAGAATCTCAGTACAGTACTTCATTTTTCGAGTGTTTTCACAATGTGTGTTCAAAAAGAATCTGTTCGACTGGTGCCGAACAAATTTATAATCAATAAAGCAAGACTTGTAAAATAAAGCGAAAATCATTTTAAACTGTAAACATAAATGATATAACATCAAAATAGTTGAAAATAAATTGATTCAAACATACATTGCTCTAGCTTGACTCATTTCGCTCGTTCGTTTGGGTACTCTGAGTGACTAATGTAAATGAATGTGAAAGTTTAAATCTTTAACAACTATACACTAAGTGTTTTATTTATAATACACAAGAAATAACTACTTTCTAGCGGACTTTGCTTCTTTATACGCCACGTGTATCTTGTAACTCCTCTCCATGATCCCACGTTCTTCATTTGTATGCTCGAATCCACGTTCTCCATGTTTCCCTCTAAAACGCTTCGCTTGCTTGATGGATCTTTTGAGTCTTTTGACGTTTCTAGGCCCAATGACTTATGATATCTTCTCTGATCGATTGCTCCTGTTTTCAGACTCAATCACTTACTTATAGAATCTCTCTATCAGTAGCCGAATCACATAAATCACCTTTTTCAAAGAATCTTTTTTATCTTTTTCTTTTTAGTTGAATTTTGGTCTTTGTTGAAAATTCCAACCAACAATTTGTTTCTTATTGCAGAGGGGGCAGACACACTTTTCACCAAAAATATCATGTTCGCTCTTTTTGATATAGTAATAATATACTCCACCCTCCACGCATAGCACGTTGTGTACGTCAAATATTTTATTTACTTGCTCTTAAATCAAAAATTATTGGAGGGATATGCATCAATGAAATTGAAATTCTTTCTTTATTCAAATTTCTATTAATAAGATAAGAAAAGAAATCTATAACAAAAACCAACTAAGTTACTTCCGATTAGAGAAGATGCGTGGGATTAAAAAAAGGCACACCTAGAAAACATAACACAAAAAAAAAACAATATACAGATACAATATTGAAAGCAATTTGGCATAAATTTTCATCTTACTAGCAAACAAAAAAAAAAAAAGACATGGCCAACAATATGCATGTTGCAGAGAAGAAATTATTTCCAAGGAGCATCCAAGAAATGTCCATGGATGGTGATGAACCACCACCAGAATATTTAGTCAAAGGAAATACTTTTGGATCTAAAGATTCTCCAACACTGATTCAAATACCCATCATTGATGTAAGTCTTCTTTCAACAGAAAATGAGCTACAGAAGCTAAGATCTGCTCTAAGCTCAGCTGGATGCTTCCAGGTAAAGGATTTACAGTAGCTTTAACAATTAATTGAAAATTCAGTTTCTAAATCAATCATTACTACATAGATCATAATATTTGGTCACTAAATTGGTGTTATAAGTGTTACTAACTGTATTTGACATGGTTGTACCAACAGGCAATTGGTCATGGTATGTTAACTTCATATCTTGACAAAGTTCGTGAAGTTGCAAAACAATTTTTTGCACTTCCAGTTGAGGAAAAACAGAAGTATGCACGAGCTGTGAATGAATCTGAAGGGTATGGAAATGATAGAGTTGTTTCAGAGAAACAAGTTCTTGATTGGTCTTATCGCCTCACCCTTCGAGTTTTTCCAAAAGAAAAACGAAGGCTTTCTCTTTGGCCAGAAAATCCAAGTGATTTCAGGTACTCTACCCTTTTCTCACAGTGAACTCAAATGTGTATAATCGTCTTTTAAACACGGTCCCGTTGACAAAACCTCGTGCATCTCAACCATGAACTGAACATAGTTAATCACATGATTAAACTGTGTTAATTGTCTAATTTATGTAGTGAGACATTAGAAGAGTTTTCTACCAAAGTGAAGTCAATGATGGACTATCTCTTGAGAAGCATGGCAAGGTCATTGAATTTAGAAGAAGGAAGCTTCTTGGACCAATTTGGGAAGCAATCATTACTCCAAGCAAGGATCAACTACTATCCGCCTTGTTCTAGACCTGATTTGGTTCTTGGTGTCAAACCTCACACGGATAGATCAGGAATCACAGCTCTATTGCAAGATAAAGAAGTTGAAGGTCTTCAAATTCTTATAGATGACAAATGGATCAATGTTCCCACAATACCTAATGCTCTTGTTGTCAATCTTGGCGATCAAATGCAGGTAGGTAAATAAGATTCTATAATCCTAACAAGAGTCAAATTATTCAAGCATAATGAAAATACTAATTTATAGTTGGGTGTTATTGTAGATTATGAGTAATGGAATATTCAAGAGTCCAATGCATAGGGTTGTGACAAATACAGAAAAGCTGAGGATGTCTATTGCAATGTTTAATGAACCAGAACCAGAGAACGAAGTTGGACCTGTTGAAGAGTTAATAAATGAGACATGTCCAAGATTGTACAGAAATGTCACAAATTATGGTGACATCAACTACAGGTGCTATCAAGAGGGGAAAATAGCACTTGAGACTGTCAAAGTTGCAGATAACTATGAACAGAAGTGAGAGTATTTCACTTTTGAATTCTCAATGACTTGATGTTAGAATACACATATCAAGTCAAATTATGGAAATAAGGATATGAATGGTTCTGTTTGTTGGTAGAGAATCACCAATCATATAATATATTTCAATAAAAGTGTCTTAGTGGCCAAAGACTTATAACACAGATCATCTCTAATTGTTCTGAACATATTAAAATTAACATTATTTATTGAAATACTACTAAAGGCTTACCTTTGTAGAACTTGTCTTAAATTTGGGTCGGATCCTCTCAACCTGGAGAGGAAATTGACATCTCCATTTCGGACAAAGTCCAAGTTAAACAGAAAAAGCAACTGAATTTGAACATATAGTACATGACCATCTTTACACATTGTCATTTACAATCAAACTTCAGAGTTTTAGCACAGGTCCTACATGAATTATTTGAGAACATTGCAATAGTTTAAAGATCGTGGCATCACATAGCAAGGCAATACTCAGCTTTATGTCCACATAGATCAGGAATCACATGCTAAGTAGATGAGTAACATGTATAAGCTGGAATGTTACTAAAAAATATGTAAATAATTGAAATCAAAATCTATTTAATTCACACCTCCCCTCCAGCAGTCAGATCTGAAATTTTTATATCATATATAGCTGGATCAAACCTGCATACCAACAGCGATGACATTTTCTTACCCGGCAGATAGTGAGGCCTCACATTGACCCGCAATTTGTGCTGTCAGTTTATCATTTAGTAGAGGGCCCACAGCTCTGATACCCAGATCTTAAACAGTTCAAACGGAATAAATTTAGACCAGCTCCCTTCAACAATATTAAATTCTTCAAAACAAAATCTTGCAGAAAATATTATAAGGGCAACTAGTGATTACTACTTTAATCACCATAAACATGTTCTCTGAACACACATAAACAATCAACTGTATTGATCAAGGTTATCGTTGTTGTTATTGTTGTTGTTATTGTAACTATTATTATTATTATTGTAATTATTATTATTATTATTATTATTATTATTATTATTATTATTATTATTATTATTATTATTACTGTAATTATTATTATTATTATTATTATTGTAATTATTATTGTAATAATAATAATAATAATTATTATTATTATTATTATTATTATTATTATTATTATTATTATTATTATTATTATTATTATTATTATTATTGTAATTATTATTTTATTTTTTATTATTATTGTAATTATTATTTTATTTTATTATTATTATTATTATTATTATTATTATTATTATTATTATTATTAATTAATTAATTAATAGTGGCACTAATGATTATTTTACCACTGTCTTTGGTGAGATTTGAATTTGAAGTTGCAAAATCAAGTTAATATCAATGAGCTAAAAGTTACCAAACTCCAAGGATACACATACACACAAACGGATAAGCAAATAGAGTTTGGGTTCTCAAAATGATTTGCCAAACTCCAGATTAACATTTCTCAAGTCAACATTTAATGCCATAAATAAGAATGGCACATAAAATGAGTGTGTGAGCTCCAGAAAGTGCTATTCCAGCTAGGTACAAATGAACCCAAAAATTACAGGAAAGCTAGACATCTGAGAATTAAGGACACATCCAAAACTTAATAATCATTTTTGTTTTCATCTCAATCAAGAACTTTTAGAAAGATTGGATGTGAAATTTTATAAACTAACAAACTTATTAAAGAAATACAAAGAGAATAAGCAGGGCCTACAAACGATTACCAACTACAAGAAAACCTTGGATGTCAATTTCATTTAGCATCCACGGTATCTGTAAAAGATACCATGTGACTGTCTTCTGATATCTCAGGCAACATAGACCTCTCTGGAAAATCACTGATATTTTCTTCATTTTGAAATACTTTTTTTCGATAAATAACATGCAAACGGTCAAAAAGCTGCTTCTTCAATGACTCAAACGCCAGATCAAATCTTTGCAGTTGCTCCATTGCATTTATATTATACAAGAACAACCCATAGTACAGATCAAAGCTATCACCAGCAGTATTCTCCACCAAACTCAATAAAGTCTCATATCCCTTTGTGTCTATTGGTGTTGCCTCCAGCTTCAGTTTTTCTAAAAATCTTCCTGTGGTATGTGTGACAAACTGTGATCCAGCGGCATGCCAATCATGTTCGGCACATGACATTTCAACCATTCGGCACCCCTCTTTGGAAAAAATGTCAAGAAACCGATCACAACGCGACATTCTTGATTCCACTCTTCCTACTCTGACTTTATCAAATAAAAAAGGAAGACCCTTCCACCCATTTTTCCCACTCTCTGGCCCAAACATAGGGTGAGTACAGAGAACGTCAAAATAAGGAGGCAAATGCTGAAGAAACAAGTTTCTAGGAAATTCTTTGACAGAGAGTACATCAACAAACAAAGTATTTCTCTTCAACCGCTGCACAGGCAATGATTTAAGAACTTTCTCTATTGAAAGGATTGAAGTGCAAAGTAAAATCACTTCTGGATGTTGTTCACAGAGATCATCTGCATCATTAAAATAGGAAACTCCCAATTCCTGAGCCACATCAGAGTAGTCTGTTCTAGAGTATGCTAACACTTTATGGCCTTGACTTACAAATGTTTTTGCAAGGAATTGACCAAAGTTTCCAAAACCAATGATCGCAATCTTGAGCTTTCTGCGGTCATTAGACAGGCGTGAACCATTTGACTTGTCATAACCCTGTAGTTTGGCATCAGCAGATCTGAACAATACATAAAATGCAACTGCAAATTAGACCAGATTTGAATAGTTATTATTCCCTACTCATATTACTCATTAAGTTGGAATAACAGTCTTTAACCATGTTCCATCACATGAAGATCAACCAAATTAATATAAGAAAACATCATCAAACATAGTGGTGACACACATACACACAGAATTAACATAATGCACTAAATGAAATTGAGATTATAGCAAGCTTTAAAAAAATAAACACCTCTGATTTTTGGAGGACAACACAATTGCAGATCCATTTTGGCCATACTTGGCCACTGCATGGTTGTTGCTTTCTTCTAAATTTTGGACCTTTCCAGCATTCTCAAACAACTGATTCGTCACAACATCGTGCAAACGAGCAATCAGCTGTTTCCTCAAATCCTCAAAAGCCAAATCCAACCTTTCCAACATCTCCAAAGAGTTCTTATTAAACATAAAGAGACCATAGTATAGATCAAAGCTATCCCCAGAAGTATTCCGAACCAAATTCAACAAGGATTCATACCCTTTAGTATTAATAGGAGTAGATTCCAACAACAACATATCCAAAACCCTACCAACAGTATGTGTTATAAACTGTGACCCTGCTGCATACCTATCATGCTCAGCACAGCTCATCTCCACCATTCTACACCCATCTCTTCCAAACACATCAAGAAACTTATCACACCTTGCAATCCTATGGTCTTCGTTCCCAATTCGAACTTTCTCGTAAACAAAGGGAAGCCCACTCCAGCTACGGCTTGCACTCTCAGGTCCAAACATAGGGTGACAACAAAGGATATCGAAATCGTTCGGCAACAATTCGAGAAAAAGGTCTTTAGGAAACTCTTTGACGGAAAGAACGTCAACGAACAATGTACTCCGCTTGAGTCGCTGAAGGGGAAGAGAAACGAGAACATCATGAGTTGAAATTATCGAAGTACAAAGGAGAATAACTTCGGGGTGTTCTTCGCATAAATCATCGGCGTTAGGGAAAAACCTGACGCCGACTGATTGAGCGACGGCGGAGTAATCGGAACGGGAATGAGCTAAGACGGTGTGGCCTTGACGGACGAAGGTTTTGGCGAGAAACTGACCGAAGTTGCCGAAACCAATTATAGCGATTTTGAGCTTTTGAGCGTTTTGGAATTGAAGTGCGGCTTTTGATTCGTAGTCGAATGATTGTGCCGCGTCGATGGCGCGAATGATGAGAGGTTTGGTGGTGGAGGAGCGATTCGAATTTGGGAAATTTGAGAAAGAGAACGGAAGTTTAGGGTTCAGACGAATAATAGCTGAATGCGACGACGGTTTCAACGGCGGTGGATGGAAGGTTGAAACGCCGAGCATTTTGTCGGTATCACTTTTAGCTATTTTTAGGGACTTACATGTAATAATAGAAAATCTTGGAAATCTTGATTTTATAGAAGTTGGCTGCTAGATTTGAAGAACGTGATGAACGTTTTAATTAGTGAATAATGAATGCTACTAGTATATAGTAATCATTTAACAAAAAAGGACAATAATTTATACTCCACTTGTCATTATTTTAAATGTGAGTGTTCAATTTATTTCAAATTTAATTATTTTTTTAATATGAATTATGAGGAGTAATAGTAATAAAGGAAACCTACACTCATTTCCTTTGAGATTTATTAAAATAATATAGACACTCTCTTTAGTTTTAAATTATGCACTAATCTTTTTTGTAGAATTGTCCAAAGGGTTTGTCTTGGTCGACGAGAGGAGTGGAGGATGTTCGCGAGATCCTTTTGACCGACGACGAGCCTTCTCGTAATTTCTAGATTTATCTCCGTACGACGAAATTGTGTTTTCCCGATAGATGAGATTACTGTTCGACGTAGTTGAGGCACGCTTGGTCAGCAAGCCTGCTCGAGCAGCATAGTTAGATTAAGTCTAATATGAAATTGGGTCAAATGCAGACCAAATCCAGAACAAACTTCATGTTAAGAAAGAAGCAACCATGAAAAATTAGAAACAACCATAAAAACATTGGTGAAAAAGAATAGATGGTGCTCATTACTTCTCTTTGTTAAAATATTTAGATTTTTAGTTTTTAAGGTTTTTAAATAGATCATCGTTTATACTGAATTAAAATCTAATCAACCTTTCAAATCATAAATCGACAAAATCAAAAGTTTAAGTGATCGAAATTGAATGTTTATTCTGAATTTACGGCTTGAAATAGATTGGATTTTTGGGTCCGAATTCAACTCAATTCGTCCGTTATCCAACTCTAGTAAAATAGATATATGTTTTAATTTAGAAATTTTGAATTTGAATTTTATTTTATAATATTCCGTCTGATTCTATTTATAATAAAAAATTAATTTTTTAAATATATTAAATAAATAATATATCTAGATAATATATTGATTAGATATATTATTTATTTAATATATTTAAAAAATAAAATTTTTCTTATAAATAGGATAAGAGGTAATACTTGTTAAAGTTTTTGAGAAAATTTTGTCTAATTCATTAAGAAAAGGAATGCATGTATCGTGAAAAATTAAATTTAATAATAATTAAATTTTACATAATAAAATTTCAAAATATTAATATTATATAAATATTTTATATATAAAATATATTTTATATAATTAATATATTAAAATATAATATGAATATTATGTAATATTTCTATTTATGTATTTGTGTATTAGTTATAAATAGTTATAAATATATTTTAGAATTAAATATATTTATGTTCTTTTTAAATATAATGACTTTTATTTTAATCTATTTTAAAATTTATAAAAATGTTGGTTCTTCTAAATTTTTCGTTATTGATTTTTTCCAATGACTCGTACGTTCGCACGGATCGCGTAAAGTCGATATAAATATTAAAAAAATATTATATAATTATGGCTAATATATATATATATATATATATATATATATATATATATATATATATATATATATATATATATATATATATATATATATATATATATATATATATATATATATATATATATATATATATATATATATATATATATATATATATATATATATATATATATATATATATATATATATATATATATATATATATATATATATATATATATATATATATATATATATATATATATATATATATATATATATATATATATATATATATAAATACATATGAATAATTAATTTATTAACATAATTTAAAATTAAATATTTTTAATGTAATTTGATGTGTAATTTATTAACATAAGTTGCAAAATAATTGTAAACATTAATTTTTTTTATGCACTAATAAAAGAAGGAGAAAAATTAATTGACTTGCATTCGCACGGGTCGCGAAAATAGTAGTTGTCAAGATATACATAGATTTAGTAATTGCTATTAAACCAAATATATGATGGACAAAAAGATTGCCCCGTCAGACATGTCTATAATTTTTATAATTGCTCATAATTTTAATTTTACAATTTTTATTAACAAATATTATAAAATAAAATATATTATACACCAAAAAAAATATTGATTTAATAACAAATTAAAATTGATAATAATTAGATTAGATTTAATGAATTGAATAATATTATGTTTGTTAAATTTGTGTAGTAATTTAGAAGTTATTGCTATAGTAATTTAGAAGTCATTAAACATATGATCTCTAATATATGTTCAATTTAAGTAAATATTTTGTCGGCCCGTCTAAAAAATAGGTTCGGCCTATCGAGTGTTAAATTGTAATTCATAGGTGTCAAAATAAGATTTGATTTGTTTAGATTTAAATAGATTTGAATTTAAATCTAGATTAGATTTGATTTAGTAAAGAGATATTTTGGGCTTGGGTTTAGCTTAGGGAGCAAGCTAACCTAAATCTATAAATAAGAGGGAGTAACCTTTATTTTGTATTCAAGTCATTGAAGTCATTCACAGTATTTTGCAGATGCAAAGTGAATTAATAAAGATTCCACAGTTTGTGGGCAGAATAGAAATTCTGCAGAATTATCTACATTGTTCTTTTATTTGTTTTTCATAACTAGTCATCTAGTGGTGGTCGAAATTCATCATAGTGTATTGGTGGATTTCCAACATCTGGTATCAAGAGCTTGTGTTTCGATTCAAGGGAAATATCAATCAAGAACGATTGAAGAATTCACGATGACAAGTTATGGGAATGCAAACTATCCAGCAACGCTGCCAATTCTGAAAGTTGACAACTATGAGAATTGGTGCAAGCAGATGAAAGTCCTATTAAGGTGTCAAGGCCTTTGGGACCTTGTAAAAGATGGAGTCGAAGCGCTTGGTGAAAACGCTTCAGAAGAAGAAAAGAAGAAATATACAGAATCTGAGAAGCAGAGTTATAAAGCATTGTTTATAATTCATCAATGTGTCAGCCCAGACAACTTCGAAAAGATTAGTGATTCAGAATCTGCAAAAGAAGCTTGGGAGATCCTGGAGAAATCTTTTGGAGACGCTCAGAAGGTGAAAGAAGTGAGGTTACAAACTCACAAAAGGACCTATGAACTGCTTCAGATGGAAGACAGTGAAAACATATCTGATTTCTTCACTAGAGTTACAAAACTAGTGAATCAAATCAAGACATGTGGAGAAACATTAACAACAAGAGCTGTTGTTTCGAAGATCTTGAGATCCTTAGCTCCTAAGTTCGACCACATAGTGGTGGCGATAGAAGAAGGGAAAGACTTGTCGAAATTGACAAAGGAAGAGCTTCAAGGGACGCTCGAATCTCATGAACAAAGAATGAACGAAAGAGCTGCAGGAAAATCGAAGAGTGATGTAGCCTTGCAGGCACATTCAGCAAAAGAGACCAAAGGCAAAGGAAAGTATTTCGACAGAAGTAGAGGTGGCTATAACAAATCGAATGGCAGAGGAAACCAAATCGAAGGAGACGTGTCGAATCAAAGAAGACCACACCAAGGCAACCAAAGAGGTGGTGCTGCAAACAGAGGAAGAGGTGGTGGTCGAAAACCTGATAAGAGTCACATTCAATGTTACAATTGTCAGAAGTATGGTCACTATTCGAGTGATTGTCCAGAAAAACGAAAGAATCAAGAAAGTGATGCAAAGCTGGCAAAACATGAAGAAGAAGAAGAAATGATGCTGATGGTCACAACAAGAGATGAAGACAGATTCAAGGACCAATGGTACTTGGATTCAGGATGTTCATCACATATGTCTGGAAGGAAAGACTGGTTCGTCAATATAAAACCCTCAACGAAGAATATGGTAAAATTTGCAAATGACAACACCCTAGCAGCTGAAGGTATTGGTGATGTTATGATCATGAGGAAAGATGGCAAGAAGTCAGTAATTTCGAATGTATTGTACATACCAGGCATGAAGAGCAATTTGCTCAGTATAGGGCAGTTGGTCGAAAAGAATTATAAAGTGTCAATCGAAGATAAGTTGATGAGAGTCGTTGATGCAAATGGGAGATTAATCTTGAAGGCTCATATGTCTCAGAATCGAACCTTCAAGATTGAACTAAATGTGATGGAGCACAAGTGCCTTTCGACCGCAGCTAGCAGAGATGAATGGATATGGCATTATAGACTTGGTCATCTCAACTTCAGAGACATCAGAGATTTGAAGAGAAGAAATATGGTTTCGGGATTTCCTGAAATTGACATTCCAAACGAAGTATGTGAAGAATGTGTGCAGGCGAAGCAACACAAGAACAGCTTCAGCAAGGATGCAGGAAGCAGATCGAAGGCTAGTCTCGAAGTCATATACTCTGATGTATGTGGACCAATTCAGGTGGATTCGATGGGAGGTAACAAATACTTTGTTACATTCCTAGATGATTTCAGTCGAAAGCTATGGACTTACCTGATCAAGCAGAAAAGTGAAGTGTTCGAAGTATTCACCAAGTTTAAGTCTATGGTCGAAAGACAAAGTGGACGAAAACTCAAAGTTTTGAGAACTGATGGTGGAGGAGAATATGTGTCGAAAGACTTCGACAGATTATGTGAAAAAGAAGGGATTGTGCATGAGGTGGTGCCACCCTATACTCCACAACAAAATGGAATTGCAGAAAGGAAAAATCGAACCATCATGAATATGGTGAGAAGTATGTTGAAAGGCAAGAATTTACCCAAAGAGTTCTGGGGTGAAGCTGTTTCGACTGCAACATACATTTTGAACAGAAGTCCTACAAAGAAGCTAGAAGGAATTACTCCAGAAGAATGTTGGTCTGGTGTGAAGCCTAGCTTAAGTCATCTGAAAGTATTTGGATCTATTGCACATAGACATGTGCCAGATCAGTTGAGAAAGAAACTTGATGACAAGTCAAGTCAAATGATCCTAGTTGGATATCATTCGACAGGAGGCTACAAGTTGTTCGATCC